CGGTAGTGGCAAATGGATGGACTTTGAGGGCATCATGGTAAATGGCCCAAGTCAGAGAAAGACAAATACATGATTTCACATGTATGTGGAATCTAAAAAACTTAATTCCTGTGCTTTTATTGAAACAAGGATAGATGTGCATTTCAATATGTAGTAATAGATTTCTCAAGTCCATATTTTATACAAAGAAGTTAAATTTCCTTTGAAAACTGAGACTAGGAGTCACAAGTTTTTCCTAAATAAAAACAAACTTTTCATTGCCATCTAGACTTCGGGGTCACTGTATTTCAGGTTCTTGCATGGCTTCCCTAGCACATAAGCTCAAAATGTTAGTTTTCCTGTAAGAGTTATAAATATTTTTATTATCAGTGTATGAATGTCGAGTACACAACTCTACACACATCAACCATCCCGATAACTCCCAGGAAGGGCCTTCCACACCCAGAGCGTCACAGACCTGGGGGTGGAGCTGCGAAGAAGCCTCCATTCTGTCCCCCCAGACAAGCAAAGCGACCACCTCCTGAACCTGGTGAGATGAGTGCATGTCTATCCTCCCAGGACAATGAGAATAACGCGATCCTCTGTCTTCAGATAAAATGTGACCTTTGAAGATCTTTTTCAGGAGTAGTGAAAGGTTCTGTTATGATCTGTCCACTCTTGAGCTGCCTTGTATGGGGGCCACTCTAAGGCCACTGAACACTGGTCTAAATCCAAGTGTGCTGTCAGTGTGAAATATACACGATTCCAAAGAATCAGCATGAAAAAAATAATGTAAATAGTAGTGATTACACATTGAGATTATAATATTTTGGATATACTTGGTTATACAATAAATTATTAAAATTAATTTCACCTTTTTAAAAGCCTTTTAAGTATAACCACTAGAAAATTTTTAATTATGTATATGGCTTGCATTATGTTTCGATTGAACAGCATAGATGTAGTCTCTCTCTCCTGGATTCTAAATGGTACACAATTATAGGTATAAAATATAAGACAAGGGTATCACGTTATACAGGATAAAATTCACAGGTCAGCAAATAAATTGAATATGTGATGTCAGAATCTATAGATGGATGCTAGCTAGTTTTATTTTACTGTGTTGACTTGTCTCACAATATATACAAATATCTAGTCGTTATATTGTACACCTGAAACTAATGTCAATTTAACCCCCCAAAAAAATCTGTAACTAAATGAATGAGCATCCATACCTCTCTGGGGAACCTGAGGGCTGACAATGGGTCTGACTGTGAGGGCAGCAGCAGGAAGTCGCACCCGCCTGCTCAGCCCAGTCGGCATGCTCCCCAGGGGCTCCCTGGTCGCCGTGATGCCTGGACACTTAATGCTCATACATGTCAAGAACAATGGTGACAATAACAGTCATTTACTGAACACTTAGTTTATGCTGATCCAGGCAGGGAAGTCTGTAAGCTCACAGACAAGAAAGCCGTCTAGAAGGATGGCACTCTGGCAGGAAAAAGGGCAGATGCAATGAAGCTCGGCATTCGCTGTTTCTTCTCTTTGTCTTCATTATACCTCAGAAGGGCTTCCACGTCGTCAGTTGGTATTCCTGACTCCGCAAAATTTTATGAACACGTTTCAGGGAGAACTAGTTTGCTTGCCTTTTCAGTTATGTTGCTATTCTTAGAATGTTATCCATGTAACTTTATGTCCCCTTAGGACAATCTTTTACTGCTCTCACAATGTATGATATTTCCTAAACTTAATGTGACTTATGCATGTTTTCTACAAGTATTGAAGAAAAAAGCTTACACGTCTTAACTCCATCCTCGTGGGGACGTGACCTGAGGTGGATTCTGCCCCTTAACTGGGTGGCAGCGATGCAGACCCGCGGTCCTCCCCCATGCTCTGTGGGGCCCGTGTACGAATCTGCTCCATCAGAGCGGTCCTGCTCCCTCGCCCACAGACACCCCCGAGGTCAAGGCTGTGTCGGTCTCCAAAGGCCATCAGGGCTCTGCAAGGACCCTGAAAGTCAAGTGCTTACTCGGGTTCTTACACACGCAAGCACTGCAGTGCATCCCTTCGATGTCCCCCAACTTCCCCGGGAGTCCAGTCATCTGATCTGTCAGCTGGAGCCTCACCCTCCCTTTGGGAGAGGCTGGGTGAGCAATCGTGCAGCCCTGACCTTGTGCACTGCCTTCTCCGGGTCAGCTATGGCTGCTGCCTCTGCTGGACTCTCCATCTCACACAGTGGTAGCTTCTTTCCCTGACTTCCCCCAAACCACACGGGATGTGAGGTCATGAGTTGTTTGACTGCTGCAAGGCCAACACGCAATGCTGTGAACCGGGTTTCTATGGTCTCTGAAGTTCTTGGCACCATATCACCAAGGAATTGTTCTATCTTCTGCCACAGAATCCAGCCTTACATTTACGCTGCAGGGCCTCTTCTCTGACTCGGCCCCTTGCCTTTCTCCCCGGCTCTACTCCCCCACGTGTAAGCTCACTTCTTTGTGCAGAATGTTCAGTCCTATCTTTGTACTGCAAAGACCTCACTCTCAAGGCCTCACCTCCACACTCATGGAAGTCAGTCAAGGCATTTTCCTAAACAAAGACAGTTCCCTAAGTAGAACTCTAATACCAGTGGTTAATAATATTTTCTGAAATACCTATATACATGTATTTCACTTTAAAAATAAAGCAACCAAGCCTCAGAAAGGATAGTTTTCACAGTTCACATATCTTGACAATGCATGCCATTTTATTCTAAATACCTTTGTCTTTTTAAAACACAATGCTGTTTTCTTTTTTAATCAACAAAGTATATTTTTAGAGCAGTCTTGACACAGCAAAATCCAGTGGAAAGAACAGAGAGTTCCTATATATCCACACCCCAAAACCATCTCCCAGCTATCCACACCCTACATCACATGGCATGTGGGTCACAGTCAGTGAACCTGTGCTGACACCCCACACCCAGTCAGAGCCCACGGCTTATACCACGCCCACTCCTGCCTTTTTATGTTTGAAGGGTGCAGACTGGGATATAATGACATGTGTCCCCTACTGTATCATGCAGAACAGCTGCACTGCCCTGAACCCTCGGGGCTCATCCCTCCCTCCAGCCCCAGCAACCACCAATCCTTTTACTGTCTCCATAATTCCACCTTCCTCAGAATGTGATATAGTTGAAATCATACAGTATGTGGTTTTTTCAGATTGGCTTCCTTAACTTAGGAATGTGCATTTAAGGTTTCTCCATGTTTTCTAGTGGCTTGATAGCTCATTTCTTTTTAATGTTGAATAATACCCCATTTTCTGAATGTGTCACAGCTGACTTACCATTCACCTACTGAAGGACATCTCAGTTGCTCCCAAGTGTCGGAAATTATAAGTAAGCTGCTATAAACATGTCTGTGCAGGCTTTAGTGTGCACGTGAGTCTTGAATTCCTCTGGTCAAACACAATTACAGTGCTACTGCTGGGTCATACATTAAGAGTATTTCTTGTTTGGGAAGAAAGGGCCAAACTGTCCCCCAAAGCAGCTATGCCGTTTTGCATTCCCATCAACAGTGACTGAGAGTTTCTGTTACTCCACATCCTTATCAGCATTTGTTGCTCTCAGAGGTTTTTATTATTTTAGCCATTCTAATAGGTGTGGAGTGCTATCGCATGGTTGCTTAATTTGCAATTCCCTAGAAACCTATGATGCTGAACATGTCTTCACATCCTTACCTGCCTTTATATCTTTGGTGAGGCATCTGCTCAGACAATGCTAGTTTTTAAAGTGAGAATTTTGTAACATCCATCATTGTTATATTGTCACTGACCCTGCTCATACAATTAAAAAGAAGCTACTCCCATTCTCTTATTTTACAATTAAGAAAACTGAGTCAGTAGAGTTGGAAACTGAATCATGAAAGAGCTACAAAGTCAGAGAAGCAGGCCGGGCCAGTGAGAGGACGGGGCAGTGGCTGAGGTGTGCAGGGGAGAAGCGGCAGAGAAGGAAGCAGAGCAGGACCAGTACGCTCCGGAGTCAGGGAGGCCAGAGGGGAGGCAGGTGCTTTGGTTTGTTATTTCGAAAAAGAGCTTTGCCAGCAGCAAGAGGCCTGTATGAACAGCTCGTGATCATTGATCGCTGGAGGCAAAAGAGAGCCTTCAATGGCTTGTGACTCATAACCTGGGACGCAGGACTTTAGAAACATTCTTCTTTCTTCTAGTTTGTCCATCTGCTAAATGAGACTGTGTTTCTTATAGTTTCCAAATTCTGTTTTATTTCCTACAGTATTTTCTCTTTTATCAAATTTTAGAGTATCATCTTTTTTCTCTGATAGTTTTGATAATTTACTTAGCATCTGTCTCACTGTGGCCAGTTAGATCTTTAATGATTCACCACTTAAACAAGATGTTACAACAATTCTTTAAAAATATTTAATTATTTGTGAGCAGTATTCATAAGTAGCCCTCTCTTATTTATTGCAATTTCACCAGGGTGTTACAGTATAAACTCGACCATTTTTTCTGCATAAACTCAAGAAATTAAGTAAGATACCCTCCCTGAGTCATTTATGGATCTGCAATGTCCTATTAGTTTGGCTACTACTAGAATTTGGAATTAAATCATTTCTGGAGGTTAACATACTATTGGCAAAGCTACCTCTAATCCACTGCTTTCAAAAGGAATTAACACCAAGAAGCAGTCTTTACCCAACTGAGAGAGTTACAGCTTCAATTACAAGCAAACTGTCAAATATTTCTTATTCTCTTGGATACAAATAGTATGAATCAGTCGAGATATAACTACAATACATCTTATAATTACAATATATGATTATATTACACATGTAGATAACTGATATCATCACAATTCATCTTGTATGGAATTACAATATAAGCAATTAAGATGCTAAGAAGTTAAATTATGCAAATATGTGAAAACCAAGAAAAATAAGCCAGATAATATCAAAGAAAACTAGTGATGTGAAATGAATTAGAGAGAAAATGAGAGAAGTGAGAAAATATTTAAGCCAGATGCTTACCTGGAGATCTGCCGTGCCCAAGAGGTCAGTCAAGTATGTACACGGTCAGGCGGTTTCCAGTCCAGCAGCAAATGCTGGACGCCCAGCCTGACAAGATGATGTAGTGGGCGGCAGAGCACATCTGTTTACCTAGGAGAAGAGAATGCACTTGAGAACATTTTCTCATGACTAATGGGTAATGTCAGGGTGAAGACGTGATCACTAGACTTGGGAGCTCTGTGCAAGGAAGGCATGAGACACAAGTCAATGACTGGCGGAAGTGACCAGGGACGCGGCACCCCCTGCGCTCACCATCCCGCTCTACCTGATCATTTAAGGGACCAGAAAATAAACATCTGCAACACAAACCTGGATATAACAAGGCAAGAAGGAGAGCTCCAGTGTCTAGGGTATTTGTGAGATAAGGTAGGATATTATCTCCCTTCATTTCTGGAAAGCCTGAATCCAATTACTTTTTCTCAATAAAAAAACACTACAGACATTATTAACAAGTGTTTATCTCCTTCTCCCTTCTCTATTCTCTCACTGATCCCTTAACCTTTTGTCATCCTATTTCTGGTGAAAAATTCTTTGAAGGTCACTAACATTCTTGTAAATCGTATATTCCATAGACCTATCTCCATCAATTTTTGCCAAATGATACCTATCTGTATCATCTGATATTAGTAATCAACTTTCCCTTTTTGAAAAATGTCACATCCTGCGGGCGTAGATGTTGCTCCACAGCATCCTACTACCTTGACCTTCCTCCCACCTCTTTAAGCCTCCTTTTCTGCCTTTGATTTCATTTCTTACACATTTTCCATACATAACTAACAACAAAGTATTACAACAAAATCTAAAGTAATTCAGTCTCTCTAACCTCTTTCTGAACAAATCAAGAACCTTGAGATGCTTTAACCAAATGCAATGAATGTCTCTCCTCCTCTTTTGTTACTATAACCTAGAGTTTTTTTAGTTTCAGTTTTTGTTGACTACCCAAAAACAACATGAAATCATTTCCAGTAAGTAATTAAATTAAGTGTCTGGATATATGCTGTCAATTTCTGCAACTGTTGTTTCTTCTATGCAATGCCTTCCTTTGTACTTATTTATTTCAGAGGCATCTTCTATAATAGTTTAGTGAGAGTGCAGGTGGTGAACTCCCTTAAGTCTTTGTGTGTCTGAAAATATATCTATTTTTTCCTCATTCTTGATGGATGGTTTGATACACATTTCTTGGTTAATTTTTCTTTTTCCCTCAGCGTTTAGAATGTATTGCTCCACTCTGTCCTGACATCTTTTGTGAGATGTTTGGAATTGTCCGTCATGAGCTGGATCCTGTCAGGCACTCCAAATCTGAAGCAGGTAGCCCAGCAGAAATCAACCAAAAGGTGCAAATAATGTATCTGGGACACCAAGCATGAGCAAGACCAGAGGAAACAGGTCAGCTACGTGAGCAGGTGACCCAGACCCCCATGCCCCCCACCAAGGTTGAGCCAGAACAGCATTCGCAGCTTGCATCAGTGGTGATATGGGGGTCCCTATAAGAACAGTGAGAGGGGGAGGAATGGGCCCAAGCTCTTGTGAACAGGTTTACGGGTAGGCTGGCTCCACAAGCAGGTTCCAGTCAGAAACGGAAATCAGCTGCATGCCAGAATCACTCAGGGTGTCCTTGAATGGCAGTGGAGAGAAAAATTTTCTGAAAAGGTGAAGCCCTGTGGTATGCACCCAATGACCCACTTTTGTGTGGAACTCTGTAAATACCTTAAGGCTGAAAGCAACACAAGTCAGCTTTGAATTCTAGTGTTAAGATGACACTCAGTCAAGTTACTTAGGCAAAAAAATAAATAAAAGGGAGTGGGATTTTACAAGGATACAGGAATATTTTACAGAACTCCAGGCAGAAACGAAACCAGGCCTAAGGAAAAGTTCTAGCAACAGAGACCGGCACTGCATCGGGCCTCCGCCTCCACGTCGCCTCTGGACCTCTCCGAACGTGTGATCTCCTCTTCCTCTCATGTGCTCTATACATTTCCTGCTTCTGTACTAGAAATGGTGTGCTAGAAACTTATCTCAAAGTTTTATATGTATATGTGAATGTATGTCATGATCCACCATCTGAGAAACTGAATTTTTAAAATGTGGTGTAAACTTAGATTCCCATGTCTAGAAACAAACAAAAACCTCTAACTGGTCCAGTTTGAATCATGTGCCAATTCTGAGTCCAGTCAAACTGTATAAAGTACAGAGTTATCTTGCTTTAAATGCTGCGCTAGGCTTGGCCGTGACTCTGAGGGAGAGCCAGGCCACTGGGAGCTGAGCTGAGCAGACACACCTGTCACCCTCGTTCCTTCTCCCAGGTATCCAGGCTGGAAACCGCCATCAGCTTGAGCTTCTCCTCCCCTTTTGTTTACTATATAGCTCTGTCATCAAGAACTCTTCCATTCTTTTTTAAAAAATTACTTTCATCTATTCCATCTCCATTTCCTCTGCCTTATTATTTGCCAAAATCACAGCTCAAAAAAAAGGATATTTCACTATAGTTAAATTTATATTTCTTCAACTACTGGTGAGAATAAACATTTTTCACTTTTTCCTTCATCTTACACACTGTTAGTATTTCTGCTTTATTGTTATGTCTTATAGACTGAATCATGCTGCCCATGTCCCAGCTCGTATGTTGAAGCACTAACTCCAAATGTGTTTAAAGATACATTTAAAGAGGAAACTAAGATTAAACGAGGCCATAAGGGTAGTGCTCTGAACCAGGACAACTGATGCTCCTGTAAGAGGAACACCAGGGATGCCGCCCGTAGGAAGGCCCTGCGAGGACAGTGAGGCGGTTGTGTGCAGGCAAGGGAGACACCCAACGTCAGCACCTTGACCTTGAACCTCCAGCCCCCAGAACCAAGAGAAAGTAAACGTGTGCCAAGCCACCAGCCTGCGGCATTTGGTTAGGGCAGCCCTAGCCCACTAAGTCTGTCTCTGCAACCCTTACCCACTTTCCTTTCATTCTCTCCTGGTAAGAGCTCTCTAAACATTAAGGCTATTAGCCTTTTATACAAAATAAATGTTACAGATTTTTTTCCCAATTTATTTTCCCCCCTCGCCTTTTGTTTTTATAGACAAGTTTTTTTAGTACAAATTTTTCAGTCCTTTTCTTATAGTTGCTGCTTTTGAAACTGTGCTTAGAAAGTGCCTCTCATTCCCAGTTATATTTATACTGACCTATGCCTTCTTCCAATTATTTTTCTGATGTAACATACAGATAAATTCCTTTCCAAACAGCTAACTACTATCCCTTAACAACTTACTCATTTTCGTATCTATTTGAAACCTAGTTTTATATCCTAAACGCTTATATGCACTTAAGACTCCTGTTGCGTTTACTTATGACATTCATACATTCAATAATTAATTTTGCAGGTCATATTGTTCCACATTTATCACTAGGGAAAGAAGAGTTTCCACCAAATTCAAGAAACTATTTTGAGTGTATCAACTTAAAAAAAACTATTGGGAAAAAGTTTTTAAATCAAAACACCGTGATTGTTCTCAGCTAACAATAAACACCAAAATACATAAAATTACTTAAACAAGGTAATGAGCCAAATGGAGGGCACATGAAAACCATCTTAAACCATCTGATTTAAAGTATCTTAAAAGAAAAAAAATGATAAACTACATGAGGGTTGTGTATGGGCTTTTCAGGCTTCTTTTAGACGGTAATCGTGCCTTTGAATCGGCTGCTCGAATTCCTTTTTATTTCCTCACGGGACGGGAGGGCCGGACACGCTCACGGCTCGGCGGCGGCAGGA